CCCCCCCCCCCCCCCAAACACCCACCCCCCACAACAAACCCAAAAAATGGAAAAGAAATTTAAAAATCATCACTATGGATATTAGAGGATGGATATTTATTATTTAGACGAGCTATGTATGCTCGGGGAGCAGAAGATGAATGTGGGGAAGAACATTTGCTGTACATCCAATTGATTTAAAACATTAAGAAGAAGCTTTAAAAACAATGCAGTGATTGCACTGAGCTTTTGGTCCTTGCAATCAAATGAGTTCACACATCTTCTAATCTGCTGAAAGAGAAAAGCAGTCAGATTTCACTGCCATAACCATTGGTGATGATGTAAATTTTGATTTTTAAACTTCAGGTTTTGTTTGGATCTCCTTGAGGTTTCAAGGTTTGACACATCATTTATGTTATGTTGTACTATGAGATTCCTAAATAGAAGTAACCTTTTTATAACTCAAGAAAAAAGCAAGCTTCTCCTATATCTTAACATTTACTATATAGCAAACCACAGTATACTAGCTGTCTGTTCTCATAACGAACCATAGTGTAAATCCACTCGAGATGGAGGGGAAAATCACACTGATGGATAAGGGAAGGTCAAAAAATATTTCATTAAGTGAATGAGATTAACTACTAACGAGCATTAGGAGATCAGAATGTGAATGCACATTGAATGATATATTTCAGTTTGATCAACTTCCTATCATGATTTTTGAGGACTCGTTAAAGTCAGCTGTGATGCCAAAATCAGACTTGACTATGGAAAATAACCAACTTATTTTCAACTTTGACAAGCAAACAATCACTCACTTAAAAAACTTATTTACTAAACAAGTTAATATTTTAAACTTTGCCATACTTGCACTTTGTGAGGGGCACGGGTGATTGCGTTTATGCACTATCACACACAAGATTCTTACCGTGCATTAGATTCCCCAGGTTCATAGTTTCAGTTTGACCAGCAGCATTAGCTTTTCTTGAGAAGAAGTTGTTTTTAACTGCAAACTAATGTCACTTTGGTTAACCTTCTGGTCTATGCAGGAGTTTATTTCAAGCTGCAAAACATTACATGAAATGAAAAGTTTCAAGTACCTCGCAGAAGGCTTAAGAAATGATGGTCAAATTGGAACCGCAGTTGGAGTTCTTCGACTGGCATTAGCAAATGCAAAGAGTATGCCAAAAGAAGAGTCGTGGCGATTAGTATCTAAGCAGGTTATAGATGACTTGACTGGGCTGCTCCGAAAGTATGAGCATGAGAACGATTTCGTTTGGCATGAGAAGGTACCGGAAATTGACGAGTTGCCATTCCCTCAAGCTGTAAAAGTTGTTAGTGTCATAC